CTCCTCCTCCTCTCAGGTTGATTCACACGCGCGATACTTTAAACGTCACTCCCGCACTTTTATTAAAAGATTACTTCCGCACTTATACGGATATTTTAAAAAATTTATTATATGCATTGAATTTTATATTCGATGCATATAATAATATGCAAATTAATAAAAAATTTAAATTTTATAAATTTTGAAAAAAAGATACTAATAACTAATAATTTCATATAAAAGCTATAATCTAAAAGTGGAAACTTTTACAAGATTATAACTTTCATATAAAAATTTTTTTCTTTAATTCTCTCTTGTCTAAATCATATAAATAAAAAGCCAAATTACGCAATTAATTGTTTAAATTAAATTGTACGTAAATTGTACGCAATTAATAAATAATTAATATACAAATAATAAATTACTTACCACAGGGTTGTTCCACCGGTGCCCGATGCCTCTCCTAGGTCTCCTCCTCCTCGCATCTATACTATGCACGAACATACGTTGCTACGCGGCCGGCATTCACCTCAGCCGCGATACTGAGGCGTTTTAACGTTGCTCCTACATTAATATATTAAATTTATTAATACATAAATATTTATATAATATATAATATTAATATAGTATTAATATTAATTGATATTAATATAAAATTAATTATATTAATAGGTATTAATATATTAAAGATTGCAACGCTGAGAGACATCCCATTTAGTCGGCAACAAAGTATGATCCTCGATGACAATCGTGGAAACGAGATAAAAGTCCAACGCGAAGACGCGACGACGCGAAAACGCGATGCCGCGACAACGCGATTCGATTGTTTAATTGCGCGATTTTAATTCGAATCATATATCAAAGTCAAACGATAAAACGGCGAACAAAATATATTTAAATCGCGTCTCGCACACTGTTATTACTGCTCGAGTGTCGCCGTGGGAATAATAACAGGTAGAGAAGGAATTTTTTTGATGGGGCGTCTTGCCCCACTACAGTATTATTCAAGTATCGTGCCAATAATAACAAAGACGTAACACGTAAACAATATAGCTCGCTATACATCACTAAGATCGAAATATTTTACGTACTGTTACGTATATTTTTGCAAATTTTACAAGTATTTTAAGTTATAAACTAATCATTTATTAAACGATTGATTATATTACAGTGCTTTTCGTTATGCTAATTACACGATCCCTCGATTCGATTATTTTACTGCGCGTTCTCAATCCGAATTGTATTTAGATTGCCGAAAAGTCGAACGATAAAGCATTAGACGCAATATTTCTAAAATATCATTAGAGAAATAATGAATGCCAGTAAGGCTTACAACAAAACAATAATTTATAAATTTGATTCTTGTACTTTCGATTCTTACTTAATTAAATAAGTAAATCACGCGAAATACGCACCTCTTCTTCCTATGCGCTATTCTTAAATAATTTATCTAATTAAATTCTAATCCATAATTTTCTTCTTGTCTCACTTGTTATTCGCATATTTATAGTCTCGCAATTTAATTATTGAATTAATACATCATGAAATATTAAATATTCAGAAAGAAATAATTAAAACATCTTAAAATATTAAATATAAATCGTTGACAGAAAGTCACAATGTAAATTTCTCTTAATTCGCACCATAAATATTTTCTAATATTGCGCAATGATCCACGTAAAAAAGAATCATGCAACGTAAAGCGTGCGATTTGTATTTTTCACGAAATAAGATACTAAAACATGTAGTCGCGGACATTATTTGATGTCACACAACCAGTTTTCGTTATAACTGTCGTAACCATGATACATCTTACAAGAAGACGGGGAAGAGGGAAAAGAAAAGAAGACAAGTTGCTTGTAGAAAGTGACAGTAGATCTGTAATAAAAAAGACAAAGAGTTCTTTATGTTGTACGTATCCTAAAATTAAGACTCTAGGAAGAGTCACGATTTCAATAAAAATTGCGTAGGTGAATGCGTGTTTTTTTTTCTTTAAGTACACTCGAAACGATTCCTGATCAATCACACCTGTCATGCTTTGCGTAATCATTCGCATAGACATATATGTTTTTTTTTTTTTTTTTTGGTTGACGAAGGAGTTACTATCTTCCACATTTTTAAAAGCGAAGCTAACAGATAATTGAATTGAGTTTTCATCGATTATCGAATTGCGTATTGAATAGTTAATAATTTATTTTATCAACAGCACTAAAAATATTATAATAATTATAATTAATTTTATTAACTATTACTAATCATCATTATTGACAATAAAATTACATTCAATTTTCAGTAATGCACAATTTATTTTGTTAAGATATATTTATATTTTATAATAGAATTATATTTATGATTTATGAATATCTTATATAACATGTATATGCGATTTTATAATTTCTTTAAAAAAAGCTTTGTACTTTTTTAAAATTTTTTTTCGCAGACATTAATATCTTGTATTAGTCTTGGCGTTCAATCAGACTTGGCGTTAAAAACATATAATAGAGAAAAAGCGACATAGATTGTTTTTGAACTAAGCTCATTCTTCGGATGATGTTCCAGAGAATCCAGAAGAAAGACGTCGTTTTATGTCCTCCTTAATAGTAGCCATAGTGACCGTAATGCCCGTAGCCGAACGGATATCCTAAATATCAATGAAGAAATATTTCAACATTTGTGACTGAACAATTTCTTTATGATAAATGCGCGTCTACATGTGCGTGTTTTGAACATAAACGATTTCTTTGTCACGAATGTAACTTGTTAGGATGCACGTATAAGCTATTTTGTACAATTTGCGTGATGTAAACTTGTGTAATAAAAAATTATTGCAGATATTCATACAAAACCTGAATAATATTGCATCGCTACACACAAATTACTTATTTGTCCTACCACCAGCAGTTATAAACTGAATAAACTAAAGGTAAATATATATATATATACAAGCTGATAAAAAAATGGCGATTCTACGATGCAATTGCGATGATGTAAATTGTTGTATTGTAAATTGTATAGATATTATCATAAATCATACCGTATCCATAACCATGACCATATCCATGTCCGTACCCATGGCCATAACCATGGCCATAGCCATGGCCATAGCCATAGAATGGATACCTATAACCATATGAGTACGGATAGCCGTATCCATAGCCTAAATATCCTGGTTTTGCAACTACCACACCAATTGCAACGGCCAATAGCAAAACAATATACTGCAAGAGCAAAACAAGTAAAAAATCGGTTTATTAAATATATTTAAAAAATTAATATATATATATAGCGCTTAAATAATAGTGTAAAGAATATTTTAACACCATAAGTAAAAAATAAGATATACGTAATATGCTTATTTTTTATCTTCGCAATTAGATCGATACAAAAACTATCATCAAGCTTTAAAACAATTTTTGATGAGATTTATATATATAGAGATAAAAGATTTAAGAATAAAAAGCAGAAATTTTAAAACATGATACATTTTTAAATAAATGTAATATCCCCCCCGCATTTCATTATTTAAATATTTTTATGATAAAGACAAGAGATTATAAATCTTATATATAATAATTAATTACCAAAGTGTTTATGCAGATTAACTCTTTACGGCACGATAATCATACAGTGAAATTTATTATTTTAGAAAACATTTTTTTAGGTTTTATTTGTGTTCTATTGTAATATAAAATAAATTTTGCTTTCTTTATTGACGAATATAGATATTATCCGTGTACAATGTTGAAATTTCA